GAGCTTGTTCTGGAGGAAATCATTGGCATAGGGGGCTTCGGAAAGGTGTATCGAGCTGTGTGGATAGGAGATGAGGTTGCTGTCAAGGCAGCTCGCTATGACCCTGACGAGGACATCAGCCAGACCATTGAGAATGTCCGCCAAGAGGCCAAGCTCTTTGCAATGTTAAAACATCCCAACATCATTGCCCTCAGGGGCGTGTGTTTGAAGGAACCTAACCTTTGCTTGATCATGGAGTTTGCCCGTGGAGGATCGCTCAATAGAGTGTTGTCTGGTAAAAGGATACCTCCTGACATACTGGTGAACTGGGCGGTGCAGATTGCGAGGGGAATGAACTACCTGCACGAGGAAGCAATTGTTCCCATAATCCACCGTGACCTGAAGTCCAGCAACAGTAAGTGCTACACAGTGAACAGTCAAGGTGCTGGGATGTGCTTTTGGAAAGAAATGATACAGAGAAAAGAGGGGAGTAGTGTTAACTGAGTGATCCTTGTGAACCACTGTATCCTCTAACTTAATCCCAGAGGGGTTTATTTTTATACAGTATGGTGCTGCAGACCACAGGAAACATGTAAATGAATTCACTCTGTCGAAGCAACTTAAATGATTGGATGCAAAAGCAACTGTAAATGAAACGTGTTTCTCTAGTAGTTCATATACATGTTTATAATGTCTCAGTTTTATTGGCATTTCAGCAGACTTCTGTATGTTGGAAAGGCTTATTGAATTTAAAATGTGCATTCTCCTTCTACTTTTTGGAAGGGTAAATGTTCCTTTGTAAAGACAAATGCTCCCAAGCTTTCATTTTACTTGCTAGATTTTGCTGTGTAGATGAGATGCAAGCCTGTTTTCCTTATGGGAGATTGAACACATCCCAGCTGAATTGGATCCTCTCTTTATCCATCATAGACCTGATGTTGTCAAAAACATTAACTCTGGTAAATAAAATGTCCTTGTACACCCAGGACTTCATCTGATGTTTGTGGTGCTTTACATGGGATGCAGCTGGTGCATTAGAGACCGTGGGGACTGAACTTTGGCATTTAGGATTGTGGAAATGATGGTGAATAGCTACTCTGTAATGCTAACAGCATTACCGTCTGCCACTTGGGTATTGTTCATGGAGTGTCTCTTTTCACAAAACTGCCTTGAAGTCAAACACATGCACACAACATTATTTATGCATGTGGGAGCAAACTGCTGCAGTGGTTTAAAGGTCATCATCTCTTTTCCTGATGCCTGTATGCAGCTGTTTAGCCTTCCTCTCTGCTTTTCTATGTCTAGATGGAAAGAGTAAATATGTACCTGCATGTTGGCTGTGGTGGTTTAGATTGGTGTGTTAGTATGAACTCATTTCATTTCTGCCTTGAGTTAATAGGAAGCACTATGAACTGTGTGGCCTGGATGCAGGCATATGTTCCCTTCTGCTTTGAGGGCAGTGCCATTATCATAGAGGTCTGACAGATGGGAATTTTAATATCTTAAATAGATTCACTAGAGCTAGCATTAACCATTACGATACTGTAAATTTCCAGGCCTTGCAGAGGCTTCCTTTTTTTTTTTTTTTTCTGGCCTCAAATCTTGTGGCAGTGAATTTATTAAGTTTGTTGAGAAGGGGTAAAAAAAAGAAGTGTTAATAGTTCTTGTTAGTGAGTTTGCAAATAGAACTTATGAGAGCATTCAAGTTAGTTTCTACAATATTATTCTTATACTATTGAAGTTTCCCTTTTTGTTAGAGTAAGGCAATCTTAATGTCTATAAACATTTCCTAACATCTAAACCCTTCCCTTACAGATAGCAGCATATATGGGCATGTTGATAAATGCTTTAAAATTAAGGAATGATTTACTTAATGGATATCTGGCTGCATCTGTGAATAAGAAATAATTGACTTTAAGTGTTGCATCTTTCCTCCTTACCTAAGAAAATATTTGCTTGCTTATTTTGCTAACAGGCCATTAAGACTTCATTGCTTAGTGCTAGCTTAATGTTTTTGAGGTTTAGAATGAAAGTTATTTCTAAGATAAGAAACTGTTAGCTCCCAGTGTTACACTGCTTTATCTAGACCAGAGATTGCTTGTTGTAGAAGGGAAACATATCAACCAGAGAACCAGCCCAGCTAGAGAGACACTGGTGCACAGTGTTGCAAACCAAACAGGTATGGATGCTAGGAAACCTCTGTGCTGTCAGCAGCAAGAGTAAATGTCTCTTGTCAAAATGAATCAGTAGTGCACAGTTGTGCTGCACTGTAAATTGTCAGTGAGAGTTGAGGGGTTTGCTACATGTATTACTGTAATTTCCCTCATTTGGGAGGAAGCAATATTAAAGAAAGAGGAAGAATGAGTAGGAATGCCTGTGGAAGGATTCAGAGATGTTCTGTGGTGGTCTTGACCAAAGACAGCATCAGATCTAGTACAGAAATGATGGGTATAGGAAAACTGTATCCCAGCTAAGTCTGGAGCAAGCAGTATTACATTTGGGAAACTAAATAAATGTAGGAACTATTACTGTAGGGAAGGATTGGAGATATTTTAAGGAAAATGTATTGGTTTGCTTCTCTCTTTAGAAATAAGATGAATCAGTAACCTGGGGCTTGGCATATTACAACAGCTGTAAACAATATGGAGTTCTTCATTCTGCACTCTGTGATGGAAGATGAGTTTTTAAAACTTTATGCTATTTTAAACATTTGAAAATGTTATCTTTTGAGTGTATCTTTAGAGCTAGTATAATAAATATTAGATTATGACAATGGTGGAAGTTTCTTATGGGGATAGGGGACTGAGGATAAATAACTTTGAACTGCCCAAGTCATGTCTTTCTTGATTACTTTGTCACTATGTTGCCAAAATGCCATTTCTGTTATATGTAATAAGTGTCTTGAAGTTTTTCTACTCTGTTTTCTGTGAAAAGCTTTTTACTTGTTTTGTATAGATTAGTGGACCAAGTATGCTATTGACTCCTGATTTTTGTATGGCTTGCATTTGCTCTGCTTTTCTGACATACTTAGTTTTCTCAATTACTGTGGATGATCAAAAACAGGTTATCTTGTTAGCTTTGTGCCTGTAGAATTACAAGCTTGTAGCATTTTCTTTGCACAAGTTACTACCCACCAGCTGATAGGCAGTAATGTGTCTCTGGAGAATGAACAGCTTCTGCTTGCAAGACCTTGGTGAAGGTTCTTGCCAGACACATTTCTTTCATGTACGAAACATCTAGAAGCACTGTGGAGCTGTCATGGGAGCATCAGGTGTATTGATCTACTGATTGGTGCAGCCTATATTTAGTAATAGATGGTGATTCTCATACATCTCATCTTGCCTTCAAGCACCAGCTGGCATGTACACAATGCATCTGGAGCTGCAGGATGAGTTTGGGAGCTAGGGAACAAGATGGGGGAGTGGGAAAGAACAGAGTTGCCATATTTAAAATCAAATTTTCTCCTAGAATAGAAGAAAGTCAGAGAATGCCTTGTTTTCAGATGTCTGCCTATATTTAGGCAGATATAGAATGCATAAGGACAGTACTTTATAAAAAAATCTCTTAATGATGTTGCATTACATGTTGAACAGTAATGTAAGTCAAGTGGGCACCTTAATACAGGTCTGAGAAATTATCCCATTGTATAAGGATTTGAAAAAAAATCCTTTCTAATCAAAACTATTGCAGTTTTGTGGACTTTAAATAGCACGTACCAAAACAATGCTCAAAATAGCTGTCAACATTTCTGGTGGCATAATTAAGAACATAATGTTTTGATTGCTTTGGGAGGTAACTTCAGCTTGTACAGGGACTGAGCTTAAGGAGATTATTTGAAGATTCCAGGAGGTGTCTGTTTCTTGAGATTCTCCTTGTCAAAAAGCACTCTCCAAGCCAATATTCTGTTGTCACCTTTTTTGCTTAAAAGAAGGAAGTGTCATGATTTTTCTTCTTTTTTTTTTTTCCTTCTTTTCATTATGACAACTTTGCATTTAATGCTAATATACTTATAGTGTAGGACAAGTGCCCTGTACGTTTAGTACTCTGTTTGTCTGAGGCAGATTTATTGTAAATCTTGGAGGTTCTGAGGGTTGCCTGTTTAATTTCTTTGGGGTACTATGCACTATCAGGAGATGAGTACATAAAGATCTTTACAGAATAAATTGCATACCTGTGATTTAGTTCTGGAGACCCTGAAATGATTTTGTTGAGTGTCAGTTCAGTTGACAGTGAGTCGAGTGTTCTAGTGGCATTACCAACTCACATGTCAGTCATATAACTACACAAGAAAAAGAAGATAATTTAGGAAAGCAATTTGGTGCTGCTGTGTGAGGAGATAAGTATTTATCTTCCTTTTTATTTGGCATTTAAGAGATTCAGTTATTCCGTATGAAAATTAATCTTATTAGCCTAACAGAATCCTCACTGGCTTTTCTTACTTTCTTATGTGGAGAGGCTGAGGGAGCTGCAGTCATATAACTACACAAGAAAAAGAAGATAATTTAGGAAAGCAATTTGGTGCTGCTGTGTGAGGAGATAAGTATTTATCTTCCTTTTTATTTGGCATTTAAGAGATTCAGTTATTCCGTATGAAAATTAATCTTATTAGCCTAACAGAATCCTCACTGGCTTTTCTTACTTTCTTATGTGGAGAGGCTGAGGGAGCTGGGGTTGTTTTGTTTGGAGAAGAGGAGGCTCAGGGGAGACCTTATTGCCCTCTGCAACTACCTGAAAGGAGGTTATAGTTAGGTGGGGGTTGGTCTCTTCTCCCAGGCAACCAGCAGTAGGACAAGAGGGCACAGACTGAAGCTCTGCCAGGAGAGGTTTAGGTTGGATATTAGGAAGAGATTTTTTACAGAGAGTGTACTCAGGCATTGGAATGTGCTGCCCAGGGAGGTGGTGGATTCACCATTCCTGGAGGTTTTCAGGATGAGACTGGATGTGGCACTTAGTGCCATGGTCTGATAACCATGGTAGGGTTGGACTCGATCTCTGACATCTCTTCCAACCCTGTTGATTCTATGATTCTTCATCTGTTGATACTGCCAGAGTTTCCTTCTTCAGCTGCATGTTAGTGAGCCATTGAGCTTATGTTATAGAATTGATAGTAGGCCTTTTCCAGTGTCAAGGCACCTAAATAATCTAAATGCTGAGCTGTAGAAAAAAAGCAACTAGAAATGCCTACTGAAGTGAACATCAGTGTATTTAGTGCCACTCTTATGTGTTTCCTTCTCTTTTATGTCTTATGTGTGACTCAAGTCTTATTTCTGGCCAGAAGAAGGTGCTTGGCATATAATGCTTAGGCTCAAAAAGGACAGTCCTGTTGGTTTTAGTGAAGTACTGTAAATAACGAAGGTCATCCTGCTTGTTTCTATTTGTCTGTCAATGCAATGTTAGATATGCTAATGTTGCTAT